TGTTGGTGATGAGGTTATTATTATTATTATTACCGTGACTACTTTGCTGCTTCTGCCACTTCATCTGGAAGAAGGTGGCCTTGTACCTAGGGGAAAATCAGTAAATATCTTGGGAGTGAATGAATGAGTGACTGAACAATGCTCTTCTTCTCTTCTTCAAGGTAGGAGACCGGGTGATGGTGTTGAACCGATCAGGGATGTGGCAGGAGGAGGTGACTGTGCCCTCGCTCCATACCTTCCTGATGCCTGAGACCATGACCTTTGAGGAAGCCGCTGCCTTGCTCGTCAATTACATTACAGCCTATATGGTCCTCTTTGACTTTGGCAACCTACGGCCTGGCCACAGCGTCTTGGTACACATGGCTGCAGGTGACAGGGGGCCTCCCTTTATCACTCCTTACCCCACCCAGATTTCCTTCCAGGCCCCTTCCCTGCAGCCTGTCTGGATTGTTGTCATGGCAACACCAGGCTGCCTTGGCCTGTGGCGCCCAGAGGCCTCTGCAGTAGAGTTGCCGTGGTAACATTCAGGCACCAGGTTTAGTCTGGTGTGTTATCCTTAGCAACGTGCCCTCACCCCGCACCCCCACCTCTCTAGCCACCCTCTCCATCACTTCTCAGTCATGGAAATTGGACATGGACCCTAAAATGAGCCTAGGCAAAGCAAAGGTCACGGGCTGAGTCCTTGGGAGGCTACAGTGGAGTGGTTGGTGGCTAGGGCAACTCCATATCCCCTGCTTACGGGTGTCTTGCTGCAGGGGGTGTGGGTATGGCTGCCGTGCAGCTGTGCCGTACAGTGGAGAATGTGACAGTGTTCGGAACAGCCTCGGCCAGCAAGCACGAGGCACTGAAGGAGAATGGGGTCACACATCCCATCGACTATCACACGACTGACTACGTGGATGAGATCAAGAAGATTTCCCCTAAAGGTGGGGGGCAGAACATGGGAGGGGTTAGGGAGGGACAGGACAGGGAGGGGAGCTGCAGATCTGTGAATCCTAATGTTCTTGGGTTCCCCTTTTCTATGACAGGAGTGGACATCGTCATGGACCCTCTGGGTGGGTCAGATACTGCAAAGGGCTACAACCTCCTCAAACCCATGGGCAAAGTCATCACCTATGGTGAGTCAGTGGGTCATGGATGGAGACAACATGTTAGGGCAGGAGGGAGGGTCTAAAGAGTGGGACATAGGGGTCCAGGGCTTTGGACTGAAGGGGTAGGGACTCAGGTGCTTTGTAGACGATCAGGGTTAAGAATGATCCTGTATGTTGCATTGAGATTGCTGATTCCTGGGTGCCAGCTCTTTTCATTCTCTGTCACAACTTATCACGTGAGTCATAGTAAATTCTATATTCTTTGAGATGGAGTTTTTTTCTTGTTGTTTGGTTCACTGCAACCTCTGCCTCCTGCGTTCAAGTGATTCTCCTGTCTCAGCCTCCTGTGTAGCTGGGATTACAGGCATGTGCCACTACACCTGGCTAAGTTTTTGTTTTTTTTTTTTTTTTTTTTTTTTTTTTTTTTAGTAGAGATGGGGTTTCTCCATGTTGGTCAGGCTGGTCTTGAGCTCCCAACCTCAGGTGATCTGCCCACCTCGGCCTCCCAAAGTACTGGGATTACAGGTGTGAGCCACCGTGCCTGGCCTTACATTCTGTTTTTTGAGACAGAGTTTTGCTTTTGTCACCAAGTTAGAGTGCAATGGCATGATCTCAGCTCACTGCAACCTCCACCTCTTGGGTTCAAGTGATTCTCCTGCCTCACCCTCCCGAGTAGCTGGAATTACAGGTGTCCACCACCATGCCCAGCTAATTTATTTTTAGTAGAGGTGTGGTTTCGCCATTTTGGCCCGACTTGAACTTCTGACTTCAGGTGATCCAGCTGCCTCAGCCTCCCAAAGTGCTGGGATTACAGTCGTGAGCCACCGTGCCTGGCCCAATTCTGCATTCTTGTTTGGGGATTATTCTTGAACAACCAGCCTGCCTTCTTTCTGTCCTACCTCCCTGAGTTGTCTTAGGCAAGGTGCATTTTCATTTAAAAAAGTATTTCACACGACAAAATAAGCCAGGTATGGTGGCTTATGCCTGTAATCCCAGCACTTTGGGAGGTCAGGGCAGGTGGAGTGCTTGAGCCTAGGACTTTAAGACCAGCCTGGGCAACATGATGTAACCTCATATCTACAAAAAATATGAAAATTAGCCAGGCATGGTAGCACTGTACTGCCCGGGCAGCAAAGTGAGACCCTGACTCAAACAAACAAATACAAAAAGATTAGACCTTTTTTTTTTTGTTTTGTTTTGTTTTGTTTTTTGAGAGAGGGTTTCAGTCTGTCACCCATACTGGAGCACAGTGGTATAATCTCGGCTCACTGCAACAGCCACCTCCCTGGTTCAAGCAATTCTGCCTCAGCCTCCTGAGTAGCTGGGATTACAGGCGCCCATCTCCACGCCTGGCTAATTTTTTTTTTAAGGCCAAGTCTCACTCTGTCACCCAGGCTGGAGTGCAATGGCACAATCTCAGCTCACTGCATCCTCTATCTCCTGGGTTCAAGCAATTCTTCTGCCTCAGCCTCCCGAGTAGCTGGGACTACAGGCACGTGCCACCATGCCCGGCTAATTTTAGAATTTTTAGTGGAAACAAGGTTTCACCATGTTGGCCAGGCTGGTCTTGAACTCCTGACCGCAAGTGATTCTCTCGCCTCAGCCTCCCAAACTGCGGGGATTACAGGTGTGAGTCACAGTGCCTGGCCCCTAGATCAATCTTAGGTCAGCCAGGGTTGGTTTGGGCCTGGTAACCAGCAGTTTGAGAATTAGCCTATCATTCCCTGGCTCTGGTACGGAGAATCACAAGGGGATGACAGGGAACAGAGAGCACAGAGTCAGGCACACAGGGATGTGCCTGGCACCTCGGTTCACAGGCCATGTCACCTTGTCCCTCAGGAATGGCCAACCTGCTGACAGGCCCCAAACGGAACCTGATGGCCCTGGCCCGCACGTGGTGGAATCAGTTCAGCGTGACAGCTCTGCAGCTGCTGCAGGCCAACCGGGCTGTGTGTGGCTTCCACCTGGGCTACCTGGAGGGTGAGGTGGAGCTGGTCAGTGGTGTGGTGGCCCGCCTCCTGGCTCTGTACAACCAGGGCCACATCAAGCCCCGCATTGACTCAGTCTGGCCCTTCGAGAAGGTGACTTGTGAGGACTTTGCCGGGAGGGCTTGGGTAGGGCTCAAGAAGGCTGGGGTCCCAAGGGGCTGATGCTTGGGGAGGAGGAGGGCTGCCTGCATCGCACTGGCTCTTGTTGCCCAGGGGCTGGATAGCACTGGGAGCCACAGCTTGCCTTCCTCCCCAGGTGGCTGATGCCATGAAGCAGATGCAAGAGAAGAAGAATGTGGGCAAGGTCCTCCTGGTTCCAGGGCCAGAGAAGGAGAACTAGGAGGAGGGGCTATGAGACCCGTGAAGGGAGAAGTCGGGAAGCTGCATTCTGCTGACCACCAGACTTGCATTTCAGCCTCTCATAGTGCTCTGCCCTCCCTCCCCCGAAGGTCTCTGTGGTGATGACCGTGCTCCCCTGCCCCTCCCTGCTTCCTGACCTCTGAAGAGGTTGGGAAGTGACCATTTGGATGTCTGGGCCCTGCCAAGGGGACAGGGAGGGTCAGAGGGAGGCTGGCTGCTTCCTGCCCCCACCCTTTCCCCGGGCCTGCTGTGCTGCTTTTGTGCCAAGGTTCGCTAGTCCCCACTGTTATGTTCTGTGAGCTTCCACCTCTGCCTCGTCTTCCCTCCCACCCTGCCCCGCCGCCTCCCCAAAGAATAGAAATGTCAGCTCAGGATATGGGGCCAATCTCTGTGAGTCCAGCATGTACCTGTCTCTCCCTAGTGTCCCTTCAGCCTGGGCCAACCAGCGCCCACCTCTGGGCTTGACCAGTCCCCACCTTGTCCTCTGTTCTCAACTTCTTAAGCACAATTGGGCTTCTTCCATCTCCAGGTTTTCTGCCATTCTTAACCAAGGCTGCCTCTTACAACAGGGCAGGAATCTGACCTACTCCCCTAGGTCACAACTCTAGGAGGGATACAGAGCCCCCACCCTTCACTGAGTTCTCTGGATTTGTTCTCAGTGCCTTAGCAATGAAAACCTGTGCTTGTGTGTGTGTGGTGGGGCAGAAGGAGGACCCTTCTCCCACCTCCTTCTCCACCCCTGTTCTCCCCAGTGCCTTCCTTGTTCTGGTGGAGCTGGGGTTTCACTCTTCCCCAGTCCCACAACACTGCCAAAAATCTGTGTGCCATTGGGTGGGGGCAGCCCCGAGCCTCCTGGGGAGCAGGGCAAAAACAGGTGCCCTCATCGAGGTCTGTGCCATGTCCTGCCTGTGCGGTGGTTGAGGGGAAAGGCGGGGAAGCTTCCTCAGCCTTGCAGATACGTGTGGCATTTACCAGCCAGAGGTCTGAAAGGCAGTGCTGTCTGTTTCTTGTTCTGGGACCAAAGTAAAAATCCAAGCACATTCCCCTTGCAGTTAGGGGAGGCCCCACTGCCTTCTCAAAGCAGAGAGGCAGCTTATCAAACTCAGCCCAAAACTTTTGTTTACATGGGTGGGGAGATGGAGCAGGGGAGTACAAAGGGGGATGGTCAGGACCTGGGCCACTGTGACCAAAATGGGGACTTCCTGGGTAGGGAGGTCACTCCCTCTGCTCACTGAGCTAGGATTAGGGAGGGTTATCGCCCCAACCATTGCAATGGGAGGTGGGGGGACAGGCTCAGCCTCCTCATTGTCTAAATGAGGACTAAATGTGTGAAGTGCGATTTCTGCTTTTGTGTACCCCACCCCATTACCACAGCTGCCTTTGTGTTTGTGTCAATAAAAAGCCAAACCCTGGCTCCTGCTCTTTGCCTCTGAGAGTGGAGGGGAAGGTGAGCTCCTGGAAGGCCAGCTCTGCTGGCGGAAGATCTGGGCTTCTTCCCATCCCCCTGCCTCCTACCATTCCCAAACCAGGTTTCCTTTCATGAGTGAAATGAGGAAGAACGTCATGCCATGCTGGCTCTTTTTACTGTTCTTGGCAGTGTTTCACAATGTGGAATCCCTCCCCAATGTTGGTGAACGTAAAGACCTCCTACATGGGCACCCAAGTCCAGCCCGGCATGAGAACCTTGGGACGGGGCAGGGAGGATGAGAAGGGAGGCCCTAGCCTGACTCTGAAGTGAAGACTGCTAGGCCCTGCTGTCCTTGGGGTATGACTGTCAGGGCTTCTACCTCCCCGCCCCCCCGCGTGGGCTTCTGGAAGTGGATCTCCAGGACGTCATGCAGCTCCGGGCCATCCAGGACATCAGGAATGTTGAGAACCAGCACAGAGCGGGACACTGGCTGTGAGCTGATCTGGAAAAGTAGCCAAGAGATGACAAAGGCTCGTGGGAGTAAGGCGCAGGGGGAAGGGGGCAGGGCAGGCAGTGCCCCATGGGGGTATGGGGTCGGGAGGCCTGGAGAGGCTGGTGGTGGGTAGGTCAGTGGGGTTTGGGGTCTCTGATCCTTCATTGGGCAAGTTCCTGACAGGCAGACAGGTTACCCAGCCCAGCCCCTGTTCGCCACTTTCCTACTTACCTCAGCCTTCTGGATCTCCCCATTCATGCAGGGAGAGACTCTCAGAGGGACTTCCTGCCCACCCAGTGGCACTCTGAATTGGCCAATCTGGCACAGGCGCTGGGCCACTGTGGGGAACAAGGAGGGGTGGACCTTTAGCATCAAGTCCTCTCTGCTCCCTGAACCCTCATCTTCTGCACTCTGTACCCTCATCTCCCCTGTAGGAGGTCAGCATGACCCTCACCTCCATCCTTAGCAAAGTCCAGCATGACACTCCCTTGCAGCAGCTCCCGAACCTCCACGTCGCCACCCCCGTTCTTAGTCTTGCCAAAGAAGATCTCCAGCTTGTCCAACAGCTCCTCCTCACTCAGACTGAGGTTGGCAGGAAATCCACTGACCAACACCCTCTGGCTCCTCATCTGGCTGGACACCTAGCAGGAGACAGCAAGGGGTGGTCCCAGACACAGCACCACTTCCCCAGCCCCAGGTGCACGGCACCCTTTGCATGTCCCAGGATTCTGCCATTCTGTCACCTGGATGGTGGTGACCATGGGCAGCTCCAAGGGCTGGACCTGCACCCGCAGCCGGCACTCCTCCATGTCGATCGTGTGCTCCTTTTGTTGCAGCACCTGCTCAGCCACTGGGTGGTGGGGAAACAGGGTCAGTACTGGGAATCCTCCCCACCTGTCTCCTGACACTCCCCAAGAGCTCACCTTTGGGGTCATCGAAGGTGACCAGAGCAGAGCCTGCAGGCAGAGGGCAGTGGATCCTCAAATTGGAAACTAAAGACTTCTTAGGCATTTCCCCATCCTGCTGGGTGTGTCCTCGGAATACCAAGGGGATCTTCGGCACTGAAAATAAGACCTGGAAGTGGGGAGGGGAGTAGGAGTGTTTCTCATTCCCACCTAGGAGGAAGGCATCCCCAATTCCATTCCACTGATACTGACTGCTGGAGATAAATACATTTACTGAAAGAAAACCTGGATAAATGAGTGGTTGAGGCCCGGGCAGGGTGGCTTACCTCTGTAATCCCAGTACTTTGGGAGGCTGAGGTGGGAGGATCACCTGAGGTCAGAAGTTCAAGACCAGTCAGACCAATATGATGAAACCCCATCTCTACTAAAAACACAAAATTAGGCCGGGCACAGTGGCTC